CTTGTACAGAGGAGGAGCCTGTGTGTATGTGGGCGTGTACGGAGCCGCCTCCTCCTCGAACGTCACACAGCGTACTGGGAGTGAGAAAGAGCAGCTCAGCAAACAGGCAGAGCCCAACTTGTCACCCCAACAAAGCCCTTTTCAAACGGGGTCACCGGAACTGGCAGGGAGCCGGGTGTCCCCATCCAACTTTGTACTGTATCGTGTGTGACGAGCCGGGGGAAGAGCAGGCTGCGGGCTCCCGTATGTCGGACTGTGTGTGGATTGGCCGGTGCTCAGGGATCGGGAAGGTAAATGAACAGAAGAAGTTTGTCTGTGAAGTACAAGGCGTGGCAGCATCTCAGGAGGGGGCACTCCAACCTATTGTCTTCTACGGGGGGGGCGGTAATGGCTGAGACCCCCATACACGCTCCACTCCTGACTCAGTCATTTGGACTTTCCACGACATGACAGAAGTTGGAACAACAAAGGCAGAGGCTGACCCATCGCCTTTCTGTCCCGGGGGCTGCAAACTTTGCCGGCCCCCCTTCCCCTCCTCCATTCTATGGCGGCCCAGGTCACCTTAATGGTGCAAGTGGCTGGTTCCCCCACCTCTGTGTGGAATGCTCGGTTACTGGGAGAGCCATTGGACTCATTACTAATGCATGGCTTCAGCCCTGTACACCGATCTCCATCGGCTGCTCATGCTTTGTTTACACTTTGTATAGACGTGGATGTGTATGGAACAGATGCAGAGCACTTGGTTGGCACCGTGCCAGGCTGTATTTTGTGTTGTCTAACTGTTGCATAATACTCCAGCAAGTTGTATTATGGGATGCAGAGATGACCGATAAACTTTCATACTATACATAATCAGTAGTATTGCAGTCATCCATTAATGCCGAACGCGTGGGCGATGGGAGGACCGGTGCTGGCGCACTGGTCGCAAGGCATCACCCAGTTTACTTTTTATGTGTTAGAACTTTATTGAAATGCCACAAGTGACTTCTCATCTACTTCTGTCAGCCACGGTGCAAAGCGTTTCTACTGCGTCGCGCCACGCTTCAGCGGTAGAAAAGTGCACGCCGTGCTTTATTTTCAGCGCACGCCTCTGTCGTGGAACTGCGCTCATTGGAAACATGGCAGATCGCCTCGTCTTTGCGTTGGGACTGCACTGGGCAAGACTGTTAACGCAACTGGTGTGAATGGGCCCTAAGTGATATTTCTCATTGGGTCACTTTATATTTAAGCTCCTTTCACACGAGGAGGGGTCCCAATGAGGTCTGTTTTTCAGAGGGACCCGATTGGATGCCCAATGCTGGTCTATGAGTAGCTGTGTGTAAACTGACGTGTGTCTCGTTACCCCCGGCTCTGGCCAGGTCCGGAAAAACAAACGGGTCAGAGAACAGTTTCGCCGGACCTGATCGTGCTGGATCAGGGGCAATCTGATGTAAATGGACATCACATTACCCATAGACTGGCATGGGGGTCATTTCAGTGATGGAGGAAAAACTTGACGGACATGAATGTCACAATGGTGACATCTGATCCATACTACTCTGATCAGGAGGGGATTCTTGCACAGATGCCCTCCTGATCAGTTCATGTGAAAGGGCTCTTGCGCTCCAAATTTCGTGTGTATACATTCTCCAAAGTTGGCACAGAGGCACTCATGGGTCTTGCAGCGGAGAGAAGGCAAAGCCTCAGCATTTTATTGTCAATGCGTGTATAAATATATATATTAGAGAGAGAGAGAGAGAGAGAGATTATATATAATCTCTATATATATCTCTATATCCCATGGGGATACTAAAAAAGTTTCTGCACTTTGGTGTTTGTATACAGTTAGGCCCCATTCACACCTAGGCGTATTGTAATATGCGCGTCTGTCGCGCGGTTTTTTTACCGCGATTCGCGGTAAAAAAGTTGCGCGATTCCAAAGGCTACTTGGCTGTATCCCAATGGAAAACGCCCTACAAACGGCCCAAAGTAGTCCCGGGGCCTTTTCAGGCGTGGGCCGTTTTGTAGGGCGTTAGGGACGGGCGGAAATACGCCTAGGTGGGAACGAGGGCATTGACTACAATGCTATTTATTTTTTTGACCGTTTTGTAGCGCGTTCGTCGAGCGTAGGACGCGCTACAAAACGGTCAGGTGTGAACGCAGCCTTAGTCAGTGGTTTTTTGTTTTGTTTGTTCTTTTAATCCTTCACAAACTTTGTTTTCCTCCTGATTAAAGTTTCCTTTAACATAATCAAACAGCCATCCATAAACATGTATACAACCTCCCTGTACCTGGAAGCATCCATTTCATATGATCTTCCACCATCACTACAAAAAGTATACAATTGCTGAAGATTCAATTAAACGCTGCATTCCTGATCTTGTATATTTGCTTTGCAAGCAGGTCAGAAGGAAAACACCAATGTACCCTGACCCCTTTATATGATCCTAGTCAGTGAATTAGGAAAAGAGCCCAGGGCCTGCAGTACAATGAATCCTGCAGTGTGTGTGTGTGTGTGTGTGTGTGTGTATATATATATATATATATTCCATATAGGTTTAATTCCACACTCCTGTATGTGTCGGTGCCATTATAGTGCGAGAGGAGTTGCTGCGGAGCACCTGTGTGTAATTAATGGCATAGTTCAGCAATTCGAGGAGACATCTTTAGTCTCCTGAGGGTAATGGCAATAGCCATCTTGAATGATCCGGGTTATGAGAACTCGTCATGTGTGCTTCTTTGAGGTCTGGGCACAGGCGGTGCTCTATTTAGTGCTTCCAAGACCTCCAGAAGTGGCAGTTTTGAGAGTTAATTGCTAGCAGATTGTTGCAGCTAGTAGCTACTCGAGCCGTTTACGTGGAGCACGGCTGGTTGTTTTTATATAGTAGGTATGTTTGGGTGCTGGCAACGTAAGTGGAGTTTGCGGTGTGAATTTTAACGTGTTTTGTTTAGCAGGATAGTTTTTCAGCGTGCTAGGACTCTTGGGTCAGAGCGACCTCTGTGAAATGAGTGGATAATGCTTGCGAGACATTGTGTGTCAGGGTTACAGATATAAACGAGGGGAGGGAGCTGTACATTCGACGTCAGGAGCATTAATGATGCTTTTGTTAGGAGATGACCTTTTAATTCCGAGAGGCCCAGGCTGACACATATCAGAAGCAGTAGGATGTAAGGACTTTGTAGCCATTGGGTCTGTGTTCTGTTTTTATACGGCTCGATTTTACAAACCTGTAACAAATGAGGAATTTGATAATGTACTAACCAGCGAAAGGGGCTGGTGAGCGATGAAATGAAGTGACCGTTTGTTCTGTGACTTGTATGTTTGTATACAGCACAATTGACATTTTTCTGGAATGAGCAGCAAACAATAGCAGGACATTCACACGCTGCAGCCCCAGTCTTTCTGTTTATTCTTTCTTCCACAGGTGGTGGATTGGGTGTGCTTGGGGTTGAAGCATGGAACTTTTTTTATTTTTTTGGCAGCAAAGTACGAATTGAGCAATCTGCTCTGCTCAGCTTACCGTTTCCACTTCTAACGTTTTAAATTTTTTTTTCTGTAAGTCGACTTAAATATTATTTGTGGGTTTTGTGGAATTTTTCTACCGTGTTACTCCTCCGAATCCACGGGGAGGCCAATCCAGCTCGCTATCAAGTGATCCATAAATAATTGAATATGTTTAATATTCCACTGTAAAGCTTCGGTTATGTTAATCTCACAGCGCCCCTTTTCAATTGATCAAAATATTCCTTCTTGGACTTAATTACATTAATAATACATTTAGAAACATGCATCTTAATGATTCACAGATTGAGATTGTTGGTGGAAAGTCAGTGAAAGTATTTTTTACTTTTAATAATTTAATAAAGCGTTGATTAAACTATGAACAATTCCAGTCAGGATCTGAAGACATTCATGGCCCATTTACATCACATCCAGATCACATCCAGATCATCTCCAGACCACACCAGATTGTTTCCCAACCCAAAATGCATCCTAATGTAACCGTATGGTATTTCTGGCCTTTGTTCACACCAGCGCAGTCCGTTCCAGACCAGAAAAATACTGCACGTCTCATTTTGTCTGCTCTGGAATGCACTGGAACTGTGGGCAGGTTCCCACCATTTTCCGGACCAGATCTGGAACCTGCCCTCAGACAGAAGGGCATAAACCATAGACTAAATCAGGGGTAGCCAAACTTCTGCCCTCCAGTTGTTGTCAAACTTCAAGTACCATGAGGCATTGCAAGGCACTGACCGCCACAGTCATGACGCTCGGAGGCAGATGCATGATGGGATTTGTAGGTTTATTAGAATAGGGAGTAAAAAATGATTCCAAAAAGATACAGATATTGTTTATTATAATGTCACACATTAAATGCTACTGCCCCCTTTTAAAACCCGGGTGTGGATACAAATACATGGCAGTAATGTTCATACAAAAGAACAAATATACATAATATTAACCCCCTATCAAGCTGGCTAGTATGAACCACTAACTTCTATAACCCAGTATCACTGCTCCTTCATGGCAGCTCCAGAGAGAATGGCGGGTGCACACTGGCCAAGCCCATTCTGCTTTAACATCCATAGCCTGTATGACTATATATAAGGCTATAGTAAGAACCACTATTTCTAATCTTTGAAGATCTGTGTTCTCAGACCTTGGAAAGATGATAATCTTTCCAAAAGGCATAGTCCATGTGCGTTCCCAACTTTCTGGAGGAAGAGCAATAGTTCCCAAAACAAGTAGCGTAGCACTTCCAGTTTTGTAGTTTCACTAGAGCTGGAGGGCCGAAGTTTGTCTATGCCTAAACTCAGTGGTCGTTCCGATGCAATATTTTACTGGAAAATGGCATGTTCTGATTGCCTAGTTATATTTTATGTTTGTGGATCCCTAAAAGTGCCTTGGTCATGCAATACAACCTAAACTGACTAAAGCAGGGCTATACAACATTGGCACTACAGCTGTGTAAAAACTACAAATCCCTTCATGCCTCTGGGAGTCGTGCCAGTGGTTTGCAGTCCCGCAATGCCTCATGGGATTTGTTGTTTCACCACAACTGAGGTTGCCTACCCCTTGATTAAAGGAACAAATGCTTGCTAAAGCTGCGCTGCCTTTACAAACTCCTTCATGGATTCCCATCCCCTCCAGCAGCTTCCTACTGGCCCACCATTGTGGCGTCTGGCCCTGCTGGCCTAATATTAAGACGTGGGAAGAATTGGCCCAGATCTCGACCCCACCAGGCAGTGTTGCAATTTGATTGTTGGAGAGTCCAGGGTTTTGGGGTTGTAGGGGCCTTGACAAAGATGT